AGAGATCCTCTGCCTCTTGAGTGCTGGGATTAAAGGCGTGGGCCACCAATGCCCGGCGAAAATCCCAATTTTTAGCTCACTTGAAATGGTTATACTGTCTATAAATCTGAATTATTTCAAGTATATCCTATTAGTTGATAAAACTCATAACCCCAAATTAGCAATGTTATCTTGGAGCATACACTTATGCCAAGATAAACACAGTCAAGCTATTCCTTCCTAATGAACACATTTATTGAAGTGAGACCAGAAAGACATAAAGTCTTATCTTAACTGCAGTTTACCTTGTCATCAGGAAGCACGTGCCAAATAGATATTGTCTTCTCCTCGACTTCGTTGTTGATAGACAGGTAAGAAGGCTGGTAGATTTTGGTTGGCTCTAATATCAATACCTAGAAAGAGTAAGGCAAAGAAACTTGCATTAGTGACAACTGCTACAGTAAATCCAACACCACATGGAAGAGGTTATAGATTTAACAGCTCTGGAAATTGTCTTAACTCTAATGAGTGCCTAGGAGCCTTCTGAGTCTTTCATGATATACAGTTATCCTAAGTTCCATCAATATATCAGCTTTTATTGCTAACAGACTGGAAGTTGTATTTCAAGGCCCATAGTTCAGCTATCCCTGGAGAACTTACTAGTCCATTTTGGAAAGTTTCAGCAGGCTCGATAATTCATGCTTCTACCCACGGCTCTCATGAACTGAGGCAGAGGATCACTGAAAGTTCAAAGCTAGTATGGGTTACATTGAGAGTTCCTGGCCAGCCTAGGCTATAAAGCAACATACACACCTCATTTCCCAAAGCTTAAGTTAATCATCTTGTAATGCACAAGCTACTTCTATTAAAATAAATGTGTCAAAGAATGGCAGAAACATGATAAAAACACTTCTGCACACCAAAAAGATTCTATTTCCAGAATAGAAATTTCAGATCTCTGCTGTCACACTTTATCATAAGGAGCTGGTAGTATGGTTCTTCTACTCATGAAAATGGATTTATAAATAATTTGGGATTTTGTTGAAAGAGTTTTATATATAAAGAATCAGATATAGCTATGAGAAATAATAAAATTATCTTTGCATTGCCTTCAAGATAAAACTGGAGTGTTCAATAAGAGAAATAAAATTTGCTGATATTTTAGAGCTGTATGAAAGGCATGTGACAAGCAAGTCAAGAATCTACATTGAACATGAGTTTTACTGCTACTATTTCACACCAAGTGGGAATGACATCAATATACCATGCACACCCTAAGTTTTAAGTTGTGATAGTTTTGTATAGATCATTAAAAACCATTTTTTTTAAAAAAATTCAGAAAGGTTTGTGGGTATCCTAGGCTGACCTTGAACTTGCAATGACTTTGACCTTCTAATCATCTTGACTCTACCTCCCAGGAGCTGGGATCACAGGCCTGCACCACTGGTTTTGGTGGCACTGGGGACTGAATCCAGGGACTTCAGCATGCTAGGCAAGCATTTTACCAACTGGGCTACATCTCCAGACCCAAGACTTAAATTTTGTATGCAGTTAAGGATGCTTAAAAGGAAGAAAGAGGAACTGGAATGGTTTGGGTTTTTTTGTGCTCTGCTGAATAAAATTACATTCAGAAGTAATCATGAATCAGACAACTTTACCAGATAAAACTGGGAAGAAAAGCCTTCTGAGAGCTCCATTATCAAGAAATAACAAACTCCCAATACACAAAAACACACAATGCAGCCTGAGCAAAGAGGTACAAGAATATGGGTCAGAAAACTTGTTCCCTGCCACAAACTAGGAACTCAATACATTCTTTTCCCTCTAAGTTTACCATAACAGAACATTTACATAACTTAATATACACAGAAATGGAAAGGGGGCAGGAGAACCCCCAAATTTTCCTTTACTGTGTGTACAAAAAGCTTTAGAGCTCACCAATTGATTTCATGATCAGGCCTTTACTATGAAATAAGAGGCTTTACCACAAATCTCACAATTATGGCTTGCGTTCTGACTCAGGACCACACCCCTTACTGTGTGAACCAAGGCTCCAATTCTAGTCAGTCAAGCTCAGTGCTACTGATTAAGACTAAAGATTGATTCTCAAGCAACACTGTAGAAATGGTGCTGTCATATCTGAATGCTGCAGAATATTTAACTATGCAAGGATGTGCTGCGTTTGTTTAACTATATAACGATGTGTTACATTTGTTTATGTTGCAGAATATTTGTTTAATTATGTAAAGATGAGTTGTCTTTGTTTATGTTGTGGAATATTTGTTTAACTTGTAATGATGTGTTGCATTTGTTTAATTATGTAAAGATGTGTTGACGTTTTCCTTGCCTGCCTAAGGCACCTGATTAGTCTAATAAAAAGCTGAATGGCCAATTGCAAGTGAGGAGGCAGAGGCAGGACTTCCTGGCAGGGAGAATAAGTAGGAGGAGGAATTTAGGCTTGGGAAAAAAAAAAAAGAAAAAGAGACACCAGTGAGATGCCAGGGGGCAGCCAGGCAGTTGGACACAGGAAAGTAGGATATACAGAATGAAAGGTAAAAAGCCCAAGGCAAAACATAGATGAATAGAAGCAGGTTAAATTAAAAGAGCTACTGGGACAAGCCTAAGCTAAGGCTGAGCTTTCATAATTAACAATAAGTCTTTGTGTGTTTATTTGGGAGCTGGTTGGCAGCCCAAAGAAAATTCCATTTGAACAACCCTGTGTTTCAGATACTGAAACAAGTAACAGACAACAAAAGATGGGGTTCCCCAAATATTTTTAAGGTTTCTTCACCAACAAATGAGAGCCCTCCTACCCATACCCCAATTCTGTGGGCACAATTCCTTCAGAAAAGCACAGATCAGTGAACTCCCTCTCCTGTTTAACTATGCCTTTATTGTCATCCCACATGTTTCTAATAGATAAATTCTGAACTATGTGTTCTCAACTTGGGACAGGGAACAAAAACAAGGTTATTGTTGCCCAAAGTTTGTGGAGCCCTTGGATCTGCCCTTGAAATGATAAAATAGGAGGAATCTGTGGCAAACATAAGAGAGACACAGAAAGGCAGAGGAATGGCAGGGAAAGGGAAGAAGGGGGGGAGTGAAGGGAAGAAGAGAAAGTAAGGGATGTGAAGAGGAGAAAGGGAAAGGGACAAGGAAAGAAGAAACGAGAAGAGACGAGGGATCAAGAAAAAGGAAACTGAACAGAGCCATGGCACTGAGTACAGCTCATATAAAGTATATACTCTGGCTTTCTGTTTCCTGTATTTCACACTAGTCAACATTACAATGACTGCCGAGTTCACTTATTTGAAGGAGGAGAGCAGGGCAAGGTCTAACAGAATAACTGTTAGCAGGCCTGTATATCCAAGTCTCTCAGAGACTCTGAGCAGCAGACCCCTCCCCCTTCCCTCCTGACTCCTGGCATTAGGCTGTAAGTTGATAGCATCCAGGCTTTGCAAGGGGAAAAGCAACCCTCCTCCTCCCCAAACCTCTCCTGTAGGAGGTAGGGAAAGAGACTAAATCCAACTGAGTATAAAGAAATAAGACCATCCAAATCATTTCACAAACTTTCCAGCATCTTCTGATCATGCTCACGTTTGTTTCCTTTGGAAGACAGAGAAGTAATCATGGAAATGTGAAAAATGGAAGCAATTCCAGTATGCAATTTCTTACATAGTTTCTACTGGGTTTTAGACCAATTTTATAAAATGATAATGTGATCATTCTAATCAAGACCACCAAACTCCCCTAAGCATGAGCCACAGAAGCTGCTACTGTGAGGACAAGATATTACAGTGATTGACACAGAACCTTTCCCTCTAAGAAGGAACCATAAGTGGCCAGGTCCAGATGCAGTGACTTACTACCCAAATATGTGTGTATGTATACATGTACTTACGTCTCTCTCTCCCTCACCTGTCTCTGCTACTTTATGATTTATGTCATGTATATATTTTATATGTTTACCATATGTTCTCCTTATTTCTGCAAACAATATCTTTGCAGTATCTACAATGCTTGTTCATATATGCAAATACAGGAAACCAGGCATTTGATTAATTGGAAAGCAGTTTTTATTGAATTTGGAACTTCTTGGTAGACTCAAGCCTTCCAGAATTGATCCCAAATAAAGTGTAGGAAACTTCAACTGGGCATAGTGATGCATACTTGTTCTGGGGATTGAGGCAGGATGGAAAGTTTGAGGCCAGCGTAATCTACTTGGTAAGACCTTGTCTCAAAAATTTTCAAAAAGCCAAACAGGGTGTGGGTCTGGGTCAGTGATAGAGTGCAGGGGTGTGGTCAGTGGTAGAGTGCAGGGGTGTGGTCAGTGGTAGAGTGCAGGGGAGTTCGTCATTAAGCATGTCTGTCTCACATTGTCAAGGCCTTGGATTAAGTGAGAACTAGAAAACTAGTTTTGATCTCAGAGTAACAACAAAGCATGGGGAAGCAGTTTTGCATTTTCAAGTTATGAATTCTGGAGTAGGAGTGGAAGAAATAAGCACAAAACACTCTATTTTAGTCTCTTGAAAAACAGCCACAAATAAACCATGACGTTTTGAAAAGAAATGGGATTGGTGCAAAACAAACTACCACAAATGAGTCTGCAAGATAACATGTGCCTTTGTGCCTCTGTCCCCGGAACACAATCCCTCTGCCCACGGAACACAATGGCAATGTCCTGCCACACTTGATTCATGACAGTTTTTTTTAAAGAAACAGACCTTGCAAACACAGTTGAAGTTCCCATGGTCCCTTCCATAGTCTCTCTCATCATCCCCTCCCTAGACAGTTTTCCAGAATGCCTGGCAATTCTTAATGCCCACCAGCAAGATCTAAAATGTTCTTGTCTCTGTACAGTTGCCAGCTGTAAAACTTCTACTTATTTGAGTACAGCCAACCAAAAACCATTTCTCACCTTGATCTGTATTTTCCTGTCTACTTAATTAGGCCAATTACCTTTCCATACAATTACCTTCTTTAACTCTCATATTAGGCATCTGTATTACATATTTTTCTTGCTTCATAGTTTTCTATTTTGCATGTTTATGGTGGTCTTTCTTTCTTTCTTTCTTTCTTTCTTTCTTTCTTTCTTTCTTTCTTTCTTTCTTTCTTTCTGTTTACAGTTCAACACATGCTAGGCAGGCCCTATACACTGCATTATATAATCGCAGCCTCCATTTTGGGTGTGTATGTACTTATTGGTGGCTGTCTGTGTGGGTTCACATGTGTATTTGGGTAAGTGTGGTGCACATGTGTGCATATAGCCTGAGGACAAGATCAGCTGGGTTTCCTTAGGAAGGGCTGTCCACTTTTTAAAAGAAAATATTTTTATGTGGGTAGGTGTTTTGCTTGCATGTATGTAGGTGCACCTCATGTGTGCAGTACCCATGGAGGCCAGAAGAGAGTGTCATATGCTCGGAAATGGAATTACAGACCCTTGTGAGCCATCATGTGGGTGCTGAAAGTCAAACCCAGGTCCTCTGGAAGAGTAGCCAGTGTTTTTAACCAATGAGCCATACATATCTCCAGCCCCACACCTTGGTTTTTTGAGAAAAGGTTTCTCACTGGCCTTGAACTCACCAAGTAGACTAGGCTAGCTGGCCAGTGGAACTTCCTGTCTCAGCTTCCCTGATGCTGGGATTATAAACGCACACCACCGGATCAGGCTTTTTTTTTTTTTTTTTTTAATGTGGATTATTTAGGCAGGACTCAGGTTCCCTACCTGCACAGCAAATAATTTATGTACTGGGTATCTCCCTGGCCTCCCCCGTTTAAACATGAAACCAATCAGCATGAGATAATATTTTCTTTGAGGAACTGTGGGTTTTTTCTTGCTTAAGAAAGTCTCTAAGGTGGGTGTGGTAGTGGTGGTGGTAGTGGTATGTACCTATTATGCCAATATTTTTGAAGCTGAAGCAGGAAAATTTCAAGTTCAAGTTTCTTTTTTATTTTTTGTTTTAGATAAGGGCCAGGGGTTTCCCTTAGTGTTAGGGCACTTGCTTAGCTTTGAGTCTGTTATTCAGTCTAGAAAAGAGAAGAGGGAAGGGGAAGGAAGGTGACAGAAATTTTAAAATAGGGGAAAGATTAGAAAGGGGGAAAGAAAAGAAAGTCTTTTTAACTTAGAGTATATAATCTCATAACTTCTCAATATTACCTGGGTCTTGTTTCTTCATTCACTTATATACTAATATTACAACAGACTAAATTACATTGAACTCTTCTAAATGAGTTTGAAATGTTGACTATGGACTGTTTCCTTTCCTGCAGTTTTCTAGCCTATCACGAAGACAGTCAGCAGTCCATTGAACTCTGAGGGGTGTGCTCTCTTCTTTCACCGCCATGTTTATTGCTACTCAGAGCACCAGGGCAAGCTGTCACCTTACTCCAAGATACAGACTTCCCCAGACTGCATATTATCTAGACTACGAAATAGAGCAGAATGCTTTAGTTTGAAAGGCCTTTCAATTAAGGGTCTTGCCAAGCTCAAGGCTTCATGTGGATGTCAGAACAAAGCGTGTTCATTCCAGCAATGGACTTAATTAAATGAAGCAGATGCTCTATCAACAAAAACTAGAAATCAGGGTTTAGGAAAAGAATTGGGAATTGTCACATCCCCTGAGCATGGATGACTGAGATTAGGGAGCTCAAACAAGAGATGTATGACTTAGAGATGGGAAATAATTTACACACAAAGCCAGTCCTGGATTGGATGCCACTGTCATATTACATTGAATATGGTGTATCCCGAGTGCTGTAGGATGGGGATGCATTAGCTGTGAACATGAACTATGCATTTTTAAATGTGTGTGTGTGTGTGTGTGTGTGTGTGTGTGTGTGTTAGCTTAATCAGTAAAGTACTTGCCATACAAGCATGAAGACTTGAATTTGATTCCAGGACTCATTAAAAAAGTCGTGCATGAGGGTATATGCTTGTATAATCCCAGTGTTAAAGTGGCGGAGACCGGCTGGGCAGCGGTGATTCACACCTTTAATCCCAGCATTCCTCAGGCAGAGGCAGGAGGATCTCTGTGAATTCTAGGTGAACCTGGTCTACAAAACTAGTTCCAGGAAAGCCAAGTCCATACAGAGAAACACTGTCTGTCTTGAATAACCAAAAAACAAAACAAAACAACAACAACAAAAAAGAGGTAGAGACAGGCAAATTCCTGGAGTTTGCTGGCCAGACAAGCTAGCCTAATAAAGGCCTTATTTCCAAACACGAGAAATGACATTGAGGATGATCTATGGCCACACACAAAACAAAGACACATAGACACAGGCAGGCATGTACACACAAATAAGGTTGTCTATGCACTATACATACATACATACATACATACATACATACATACATACATAATACATGCATGTACATATGTTATATGTTTGTATACACACATATATACATGTGATATATATTTGTATATGTATGTGTCTATGCCTATGTATCCATGCATGCATGCATACACATACACACACACACACACACACACACACACACACACACACACAGAGACACAGTTTGCTAGAAACTATACTGAACTGCAAGTCATCGTTCATCGTTTTCTAGAGTTGCAGTACTGGAAACAGTGATTGCTCCTTGGGTATGCCAGGGCAACATGACCCACCTGGCTTAGAGTGGTTCAGACAGAATTGCAAAACAAGGGAGCTGATAAGTTTCGCCATAACATTGCTGATAATCTTGAAGGCAGGGCAACAAAACTGTGGTACCCAACCTCATCCATCTGTCTGGGCTCAAGAGCTGCTGTGATCGAAACAAGGCATGATATTTTTATTGCTTTCTAATATGTCTTGGGTCTTATCATAAGGAGCAACTCGAATCCTTGCCCCAAACATCAATATGTATCTCGTTCCTCTAGTTTGAAGAGTTATTATTTTGAAAAGTCAACTAAAGTAGGCATGGTGGCACATGCCTGTAATGCCAGCACTCAACTTGCAGAAGGCCGAGGCAGGAGTTAAAACACCAGTTTGGGCTACTTTACTATACTTTACTATACTACATCCCAAAATACAAATGGTAAAGCATTAAAAAAGTAAAAAGTAAGCCAAAACAAGTCAACCTGTATAAAATCAATATGTTCACCAAGTTATATATGTGCATGCTAGGACATAGAGTTACTCACAGCAGGACTTAAAATCACACAGCCAGATGTTCTTTAAAGACAGGAAGCAACACAGAGCTGAACTTAGATGCAAATAAGGGTACTCACTGGAAATCTAACGACAGTAACATCTGTTTTTGTGGCCTCAACCAGGAAATCCATCCAAAAGTCCACAAGTTCCTGCTTGGCCATGGGCTGCTCTGTGGTCAGTTTCACAAAATGCTTATATATCAAAATTGTCTCCACAATAGACTTGAGGTACCTGGGAATTAAAGGACATAAAATGGGAAAGAATTAGGGCCACCTATTCCCCTCAGCCCCATTTTTACCCATAGGTGTACTTTATATTCTCTGAGTGTACTTTACTTAGAGTCGTGCCTCTACATTTATCTAGCATGCTTCACTGTGTGCTACAACAGCAGGCACTTTCACATGCTTAAACTTGATAAAAGTTCAGCAAAGTATGTTTCTGAAGTATGAGAAAACTCAAGTTTAGAAGGCTTCGGTAAATTCGACTGGGGGCAAACATCTCCCTAAAACAGGGTTTTACTTGTTGTTTTGCTGGGAATCAAACCCAGGACCTGTGTATGCTAGACACATGCTTCAAAACCGAGACCCGGGACTCATGCATGCTGGACAGATAATTCAAAACTGAGCTCCCTTCCCCCACCCCACGTGACTATTTGTAACTCATGAGTTTCAAATATCTATATTCAATTTGAGGACAAGGTGGACTCATTTGTTTTTGAATATGCCTTTTCAAGGAAGCTCCTCGAAATAGATCCTTCATAAGGGATTATTTTACTCTGAACCACTGAGCTTAAGGATTATACAAATAGTCACAAAACTAAGAAGACAGATGGTGCCTCAAAAGAAAAAGTAAAAATGAGGAAGAAGATAATTATGCAAGATGGTGGCTGGGTAAGCACTTTGCAGACCACAGACATGGAAGTTGACATTACATAATAGGCATTACTGTGTGGCTGCTTTACTATGGGGTAGAATGGTGTCTGCTTTAGGGTAACAGAAGCCAGGATACCTAAAGCCAGAGCTCTTTGTATCTGCTCTTCAGTCTCTTCTGCCTTCAGAAAAGTCATCGAAAAGAAATGGCACGTGTGACTGAATGTAGCATATGCATTTGCTCAAAGCCTACCGTGGACATACATGAGACTGCCGGTACAGCCCCTGTCCTCAGGTTGCACACAGTGCCATGGAAACAAATATAAAAAGGCATAATAACACTGTGAACAAAATCAGTGGGGATATATTTAAAGAAAGATATCAACATCTACCGAGGCATACTGAAGAACACCAGAAGCAGGAAAGCGGGGTGGAAGTGAGTTGGGTCCAAAGGTTTGAAGTCAGCATCCTACTTAAACATATGACGTATGCGCATTTTTTGTTGATGAACAAAGAGACTAGAAAAGGCATCTTTAGGCAAGTGCTAAGTTCAAAGGTGTAAAAATCACAGTGTTATATGTTCATTAGACAGAGAGAGTGCTGTGAACCCCAGAGTAGAAGTCTGGGAAGGCGGAGATAGAACCTTGTTTGCCAAACCAAGGAGAAGGACTTTATCCTTTGCCATGACAACTGTTAAACTGTTAAATTTCTTCATTAAAATTTAAGGATTTCAATGAAGAAGAAAAGTTGGGCTTGCAGTTTAGAAAGAGGCAGGGATGCCGTGGAGGAGGACTGGGTAAAAGAGTTCTGAAGATGAGGAAGTCTGTAAGAAGCCACGAGGGCCTTACCATGGAGTCAGCTCTGGGGATGTGGGCTCTCAGAGCCTGGACTCAGACCTGCTGCAGGAAGGGATTTTCTCTGCATGGCTGTTCAACTTTTCACATCTTTACCCCACGTCACTTTACCCCACGTGTGACAGAATGGAACTAGCATTATTTTTAAAGTAGTCTGAAACACGGAATTTTGTTTCTATTTCCCCCATACTACACAGACAATGATGAGACTTGGATACCTTCCAAAAACAATCTGAAATTACACACACACACACACACACACACACACACACACACACACACGGAAACACTCCAATGTGTCTATCACACTAGGACTGAAAAACCAAGACTAAGAATTTCCAAATTGAGATTGAATCATGAAGGAAACAGCGCATGCATTTGGGATGGAGCCCAGAGAGGCTCAGATGAATACGTGGTCTCAGATCCGGGGTGCAGGTCAGATTTGAAGGCATAGACTATGCAGCCTCTACACAGTTCTCGTGAGTGACACTGGTTGAGCTGGCCAACTCTTGGGAGAAGCTAAGTGACTTCATCAAGGTCATCAGAACTTTTAATTCAATACAATTTTTTTATGAAAATTTTATTTTTCTTACAAACTCTGGATATCAGCCTAAAATAAATAAAATGATCTAAAAGTTGTAAAATTGTGGCTATTTATTAAACATAATTGCATAAGCACACAAGAGTTAGTTATTACCATGCTGGTGTCTTCAGTTTGAATAGCTTTTCAGATGCTTGAATGACTCTCAGATGGTCATTGGCCAGGACACTGGCTCCCAGAAAAAATCCAACTTCCCAGTAGCTCTGGAGATTTTCCAAGTTCCCCTTTTTACCCAGAAGGCTGCTCAGCTTCACCCCTAGGAGATGAAAAAGAAGCAGAGTGTTACCGCAGGTAGGTAGGGCTGACTTTTCATTTAGACGTGAAATTAAGGTTTCATTGTCCTGAAAGATCAAAATAGTTTCAAGTTTGTGCTTATTCATGTGGTTCAAATGCATTGTAAGGAGATAGTGTCTTACTAAATAAAGAATACACAGAAGAAATTAAAAGTATCTTTTAAAAACTGTATTCATTTTTCTTTATTACTTTTATGTGTAAGGGTGGTTTTGCCTGCATATATGTATATGCATCATGATGCCCTCAGAGGTCAATAGAGGGTGTCTCTGGAAGTGGAGTTATGGACAGTTGTGAACCATAGTGTGATGCTTGAAATTGAATCTGGGTCCTCTGCAAGAAAAACAAGTGTTCTTAACTGCTGAGCCATCTCTCCAGCCCCAGCAAAAATTATCTTTAAATGAAAAACCCAACAATCGTGTATGTACTATAGTCTAGAATTTTCATGTATCTGCATATAAGATGAGAAAATCCATTATACTGTTGTGTAAGTCCCTTTCTTCTCTTGTTATACCATGGTTCATGAAATAATTGGAAAGGAAATTGCCTTGTGTTTTGTAGGTTGAAAATCTATCAGGGAACTGAAACACAAATGTGTTTGTGTGTATAGTGTGCATATACATAAACATACACGATATATATTATCACTTACAGACCTAAAAGCCAGTCTCTAGGTAGCACTGTTCCTTTAGTGCCATCAATTTCTCTTCATTATACATGATTTGCACATGAGAGGCAAGCATTCTACAGTTTCAGCCCCAGCCTGTGACTGTTACTGTCTAACAAGGCTTAGTGAAATAATGTGAATTCTCCAACTTTGCTCCAACATAATTTACTCATCCACATTCCTTACATTTTATTATAACTCTTGTATTATCTGTACACCCTATTGATTTGCTTAAGCTACATATCCTTGTAGAATTGCTTAATACTACTAGTTTCCATTACCATGAAAATTACTGGGAACCAGACCTAGTTGCACATACTATATTGCTAGCTTCTGTGGAGGTGGCTAAGTCACACAAAGGTGAAGGATTGCCTGGACTACACAGAGAATTCAAGACCAGCCTGGGCAACTCAATGAGACTGTCATAGAATAAGAAAAGCAGAAAAAGTGTGGGGTGAGGGGACAGCTCAATGACAGAGCACATGTGTAGTATGTATAAGATTCTGAGTTCAATTCCCACTACCACCCAAACTTTATTTTTGATATTGAAAAATAGGATTAAAAGGTAGGACATATCATTGTAACAGGCTACAAAAGCAGAAGTCCACTCAAGGAAAGTGCATTTATTGCTTATTAAAGATACATTAATAGAAGTTTACTTATTAACTTGCAAATTTTTGTCCAGTTACTGTACAAGAAATTCCTGTCTAGTGGACTTGTGACCTGTTGGAACATAAATCAGCTTCAAAGAAAACCAAGTGTAGAAATCTTATCCTAATATTTCTTGTTAAACCATTTATTACTTGTTAAACATTCTTTAAACTCAGACATATAATTTTTCTTTTTTCCGAGACAGGGTTTCTCTGTGTAGCCCTGGCTGTCCTGAAACTCACTCTGTAGCCCAGGGTGGCCTTGAACTCAGAGAGAGCCTCCTGACTCTGCTGAGACTAAAGGTGTGTGCCACCACCTCACAGCCCAGACATAGAGTCTTATTTAAGGGTTTCACATAAAATGGTTGAGATGAAATCATTTACCTATGTCTATTTTATATTTTCTGAGAGTAATAATTTTATCCCTTTGAAAATTATAACTAAAAAAATAACCTTTAATTTTTAAGTTACATTTTATTATACAATTTACTTAAATCATAAATATTTCAGGAGAAAATGAGCAGTTGGACAATCTTCACATTTTGTGAGGATAAATTAAAAAGAGAACAGTTTTGCCACCAAACAATTTCATAAGTTAAAACCAATTGAACTTGCCTATGCAAAATCATCCCAGATCTTTGATCTCGGCATACCAAAAAAAAAAAAAATGTTGGTAGGCAGGAAAAGCGAGACACTAAAATGTATCTATCAAACTTGGTTGAAAATGAACAATGTTTTATTATGTTACACTTCCAGAGAAATAATGAAGTACAGACAGGATCTAACAGAGAGTCCTGCTGTCAAACTTTCAAGTAGTGACTATGGAAATGTTTAGATGTAAAAAAATAGTTACAATAAAATTCAGCATTTTTTAAAATCTAGAATGCCATTCTTGGGTAGTGATATTTGGCTTTAACCATATTTAACCATAGCATAAATCTGCCATATAACCATGGCACCATGAACATGGTCTCAAGCGCAGAGATCCACCTGCCTCTGCTTCCTGAGTGCTGGGATTAAAGGCATGTGCCACCATGCCCAGGGTATTTTTACTTTTTTGTTGTTTACTGTAGCTTCTGAGAATTGAACTCACGTCCTCATGTTTACTGACTGAGCCATCTCTCAGTTCCTCTAATGTTTTTATATTTAGGATGTGAGTTCAAGGCCACCCTGGGCTACAGAGTGAGTTCCAGGACAGCCAGGGTTACACAGAGAAACCCTGTCTCGGAAAAAAGAAAAATTATATGTCTGAGTTTAAAGAATGTTTAACAAGTAATAAATGGTTTTAAAATATAATGTTTTATATTTCTCTTGTGCACTTATACATTATGGATCTTAGTACATAAAAGCATATTTGTATATAGGATATTTCCATAGGAAAGAGCTTCAGAAGGAGTAATATACTAGGTTCTAGGCTACAACATTTTATTTCCTAGATGCTGGGGCACAGATGTAAGCCACTGGAACATTTTTAAATGTCTTTATGTATGACTGCTGATGTAACTACATCAACTGTAATTTTACCAAGTCCTTACAAGAGTAAATCTCTTGTATGTAAAACTTTTCTGGCTTAAGTTATAAGCAATGGGTGTTTTATTCTTGTTATTTCAAATAACTTCCCACTGTTTCTTTCATCGAACTGCCTGCTTATGTAGCTTGAATCTTATACAGCTCTCATTAGAACTGGCTGACTTGCAAGCACTGAGGAGTTTTCAATGGTATAGGTTTTATCATCATATTTTCACCTGGTGGCTGTGACTAATTCAAGGCTGTTTTAATGGAGAAATGAGGACACAGAGCTCCGACCAAACACTCATTAGTTGCCTAGCACTGAGCACATTAAGAATGCTGACTCTTTCAATCCACACAACAAAATAAGCTAGGGAGTATTCCCCTTTGTAATTCGGAGAACAAAGTCCAGAGAGATCTGGCAGCTTCCTAAAAGGTAGAGATTAGATTATTCCATTTTGGCTTTTTATTATGAAGAATTTAAAATGTACACAACTAGAAAATGTACTATAGTAAGGGACTAGGGAGTGGAACCCAGTAGTAGAGACTTAGCATGCACAATGTCCAACACATGCAGAGAAGCAAAACACACTTGTGTGTATTCACATACAAACTACAATGAACAACCAGTTTTGTGACAACTGTTAACATTTTGTTCCAGCTTCTTGATTATTTTTGCTGAGCCTTTCAAACTAAATCACAGATATTTCATGTTCACAGATTATAAGGAATCTAAACAATTCTCATATAAATCTGTATAAATCTTTCTCCATTAGAACAGTAATTAATCCCCTCCTGTTATACATTAGTTTGTACTGACTCAAATAAATCTTCTAATTATTTCCTAAATGTCTCCCATAGGTTTTTTTCATAACCAAGGTCCAATAAATGGTCATTTAATTTAATTTGGTGTTTATGATTCCAAATATCTTTTAATCTATCTAACCCAACCATGCTTTTTATTTCCTATGATGAGATTTATTTATTTTTTCCCCCAAAGCAGAGATGCTGTCTTACACATCCTTGCATGCTGGATCTGCTCACTGGCATTCCATAGCAATGCCTAACTTACTTCATTAGACCTCATGATTCCTTCTGAATGGATATTGGACCTGAAGCTTCCAGTTAAACATTTCTGGTAAGAATACTTCACAAGGGACACTGTGCTTCATCAAAGTGAAAGAAACATGTAACGATGGTAACCATTCAAAATAGTAATACTAGTTTGGTGACTTTGAAGCATCCTTCCTTTCTGTAGACACATCTGTTTCTTTCTCTCTTTTTTTTTGAAGATTTATTAATTTGCTTATTTATTATGTGTATGGGTATTCTACCTACATGTATGCTGTGTAGCACATACATGCACACATATCTCCTTTGTGATGGCAATTTCATCAGGGGATGACTCAGACATCACATGAATATGGCAAGATGTCTGTTTTCTAAATAAGGGTCTTCACTTGGTGGTTTCGGTTCTAACTGAACATCCTGCCACAATAAACTGCCAAGACATCACTGTCATCATCAACTTTACCCTCTTTTTATGCTATTAACCAGGGTTCTCCAGAAGAATGCATCCTCCTTGGGAGTAAAACTGTGTGTGATAGTCTTTACCTTCAGGACAGGTAAACCAGAGTATTCTCTTAAATGGAAGGAAAAGTATTTAACCTTTCCCCTCCAAGCTCTGATTTTCTGATATGGTGGCCACATGATTAAGGTACAAGGGAGTTCTTTGTGGTTGGCATTGAGTTTGCTTTTGTCCTAATTTTTTTCTTATCTTTATGAACACATGGATTTTATATTCAGTAATAAATTTATCATCATTTTTATTTTGTGTTAAGGTTTTGTTTATTCTGGTTCAGTTTTTGTTGCTGTTGTTCTTTCAGGTGGAGTGGTCAGGGTTCTCTTGATAGTCAAGGCTGGCCTTGACCTTCTCATCTTCCTGCCTCCATTCTTGGGTGCTGGGATTACAGGTGTGGCCACCAGACCCTGGTAATTTGTTGCTGGGGATTGAACCCAGGACTTCCTGCATACCAGGCAAGCATGCTACCAACCTGAGCTACATAGTCCTGTTCCTGTTCTGTCTTTTTTAATGCTCAGAGACAATGAGATTAAAATAGTAATTCATCTCATTTCCAAACACAGGGTTCTTTTTTCTACACCATCATTACTGATATGGACCCCAAAAAGTAATTCTGACTATTCATAAAATGCATCATATTTTAAAAATTCCATAGAGCTTGTGAGAAACTATTTTTATTTAATGTTGGAGTATTAATTTTAAAGTATTTGAAACTTAAAATAGAAAGAAGATTGAAGATGTGGTCCTGTGTATTAAATACTAATTCTAAGTAGCTGAACCATCAGTTATTATCCAAAAGTTAAGAACTATGAAGCAATTAATATAACCTTAAACAAACCTATAACTGTAAGTAAGGGTGTGCGATGGTTCAGACATGGCTTGAATGTCTTTCTGTACGGTTCATGTACTAGAAGCTCGGGATTTAGTATAGTCGTTTTGGGAAATATTGGAACCTTTAATAAATAGAGCCTTAAGGGGGGTGGTTAACTCACTGGAGTCACTGTCCTCATTGTCTTCAGAAGGGATCAATGGGAGCATTCATTAGTTCCTATGAGAGTGAGTTGTTACACAAGATAGAGCAATTCTAGTCACCGAATCATACCTATATCCCTGCATCATCATGTAACTGTTCATTCTTGACATCCACCATAAAGGGATACAGCCAAGAGACCAAATCAGTGGGGCTCCTGATCTTGAACTTTTCAACCTGCAAACTTGTGGTCTAAGTAAAGTATCCATCCTCTGATATTTTGTTACAGCAATAGAAAATGTACTAGTAGAATTTTTGGCTATAGACATGACAACCTGGTGTAAGAAGGGACTTTTAGAGCCCACCCCCCGTGAAGGGATGCACTTTCGGCCTGGACACATGGGGGAGGGCATAGGCCTGGCCTAGGCCTGGCCCAGGATGATAAGGTGAACTTCGGGGAGCCCCATCAAGGGCCCTACCCTGCCTGGGGAGTAGAGAGTGAATGGGGTGGGGAGCAGGTGGGAGATTGGGGGGGGGAGGGAGAAGGGATTGACATGTGAAGCAAGCTTGTTCCTAATTTGAGCTAATAAAAAAAATTAAAAAAGAATTATCTCTTAAAGATTTCAAACATAAGATAATAAATTTGGAAAGGTTCAAATTTAGTGATTTTCTTACTATACTTCAAATTTTAATTTTTGCTTCATTAAAAAGCAAAGAAAGGGTATCATAAGGACAAGTATGATTATTATAATAACTTAGTAATTCATACTAATTCATATGTTTTAGGATACCAACACAATGGATGGAAGAAGACATAAATTTAAGATTTTTGATTAGAGAATTAATGGAATTAATACAATTGTTCCTTTAAAATATGCCAAACATGCTATTAGCTTTCTTTTCCTTGCACACTATTTATTTGCCCAAACAGTTTTTCTTGAAAATACAGATAATCTAATCTTACCGTATTACAATTAATTCTCTGTCAACGCATTTTTGATTGGCATAATTTATGACTGAATGAAATATACCCTAGAAAGCTTAGTAACATTTAATGCAGGTATACAATTTATGTTTTACACCGTAGTATTGCATAAGCTTAAAACTTAGCTGTTACATCAGCTAAAATTCACCATCAAGTCTGATTGTAAGTCTTGATACATGGTGAAATTTCCAAATTTAAATAAGTTAATTTTTTGTGTGTGCATGTCCCTGTGTGCGAAGAGAGTGCATGTGTGTGTGTGGGTGAGTCTGTGTGCATACATGCACATATATGGAGGCCAGCAACAAACCTCTAGTGTGGTTTCCCAAATGCCCTTCATCTTAGTATTTGTTTATTTTTGAGATAGGGTCTTTTGCTGACCTAGAGCTAACCAAGCAGGGTAGGCTGTCTGGGCAGGGAGCTCCAGGAATTGCTCCTACCCACAGCATATACTTTTCCAAATAAGTTATCTCTCCAACCCAATTTCCAAAAACTTAAAGTCAACCTCATGTTTTTAAATGCCTGTTCGACATATGTTCTGAGTTCTTCTTGGAATATAATAGTGTTTACTTTGTGAAGTTACATTACAGTTCTCTAAACCTCAGTGTGGTGACTTCTCTCATCTATACACCATTTAAAAATGAAACCAAGAGTAAGTACATTTCCAAACCACTATTACAGCTCGACCTTCAAATGCAAATCAGTGTCAAGTGCCATAAGGACTGAAGGGCTCCAACAAAACTTCATCTGTGTTCCAGAGAACAGCAACAATATGTTCAGATCACTGATCTAGAGGGAGTTCGGACTACAGCAGAGATTTTAAATCAATATGCAACACTTCAGAGTCATTTCTAAAAGGTACAAATTGATGTTCATTTTCCCTATTTTAGTTCTTAAACAAAAATTATTTCACTTGATTTTAGACAAAAGGTGAAGTGATCCAACTAACACATAATGTCAAGTAGAGTTTGGTGCTTTAAGAGCAGTGCAACCCAGCAGTGATTATCGTTAGATTTTATCATTCCTTGAGCCTGGGACTCTATTTACCTTCAAAAATATCTTAGAACAGTACATGATGGAAATTTTAAAAGTCCTTCTCAGGTGACGATTTTGAAAAGCATGGAATTTATTTTTCCTTAGAGATACTTAAGCCACTTTCAAGTTTAAAATATTAGAAAATTTTCTTTCATAATGAATAATTTAATTAACATAAGTGTTTTTTTGTCTCTTGTGAAAAATAAGGCCTAAGACGTCTGTGGCCGTGGTAATAATTCCTCCAAGAGCTGGGAAGGTCCCTAAGGAGGGGCTAACCCATTCACCAGAACAACATCTGGTTACCACAGAAACTCTAGGATCTAGAAACTTACAATTGAAAAAAAATGCTACCAAAACCTAAATTGAAACCATCACTCAAAACTGATTCACAAAGATGTGAATCTGAATTTCTTTAAATTCCAAAAGAAGGCCAGCAGATGAAGCAATGCTACAGGAGGGAAAGGGCACATTCTGTCAAGGGCAACAAACAAGAATGTCAACTACTTTACTGTTATTCTAGGGGCTTTGCAGGCTTCACTCCCACCACCAAGAAATCACAGGCACAACTGTGTTTGGAGCAAAAAATACAAACAAACTAGTTAGCCAGCATTCTTTCCTTTCTTCCTTCCTTCCCTCCTTCCTTCCTTCCTTCCTTCCTCTTTGCTTCCCTCCCTCCCTCTTTCTTTTCTTCCTTCCCTTCCTTCCATTATATTTTATATTGTTGTCTTGAAACTCACGTAGCCCAGGCTATCCTTGAATTCACTATGTAGTTGATGATGTTCATAAACTCTTGGTCCTCTAAACCTCCACTTCCCAAGTGCTGGGTTCATAGGTGAGCATCACCAAAACCATTAGTCTCTTTGTCTTTTGTTTTCTTTTGAAAGCACCAGGAACATATGATCTTAATCAAGCCTGCTATTCCACAAAACTAACTGGACCCGGGACCTGGCGATTAAATGAAGAGCCCGTATCATCAATTTAAGTTTGAGTTGTAACAAAAAGAACCAAGAAAAAATAAAGTGAAAATATGAATTGTAACCCAAAACTAGAATTCTGTACAATAGTAAGAAATTCTGATCCAGAAAAATCTACTAGTACCGGCCCCCTTCAACCAAATTTAGATTAGATATAATAAAAAGCACAAGGGTCTTCTCCATTGCATCTACTCTGGGTCCAGTTTCTTGATTTGCCTTAAAAATATCAAGGTGCAGTTACCAACTTTCCGAAGCTCAAAGGAGGATTCAAATTGGTGCCCAGAAGCCAGCAGGAGGACTGCGTAGTTAATTCCTGACTGTAGTGTTGGCTCAGACTCAAATGCCTTTTTGAACCTATGGGGGGGGGGAAGAAATGCACAAGTTTACTTTCTCAATCATAAAACCCTGGTTGTGCAGTAACTTCTGTTTGTATAACTCCATCCAGTGCCCAAGCAAAAACTATTCCATTGGCTCCCACCCCAGAATCTAGTGTGCTATTAGGAGTTAATGCTTAAGTAACTTCATATCCTTGACTACCCAGCCTCTCTGATTCCAATATTGACTCATCCTCGACCCAGTCACCCTATCTTTTGAAAACTTTGTCTTCAACCATCTACCAGAAATGTATAAATTTTGAAAGTGAAAACTCTGAACACATTTTTTTCTGTCTGTCTTAAGACTAACAAAGCATTTAGTAGTATCAGCTGGGCAATACCCTGAAAGGATGGGTTCCATGTAAGTGATACGACAACAACAAAATGTCAATGATAGGAAGTAATTTACAAAGTCCAAGATCATGCTGCTGTACGGTAATTTTGGCTGGAATGTTCTCTGAAAGTTCCTGAGCCTGCACTCCAAGCTTGGAAAGCACACTTGCACTCAAAAGGACCAGTGTTTGCATATCTGTTGCAGTTTTCAAGGTAACACATCCTAGGGACCATTTAAGGGATTCCACACATGCAATATTAAGCAGGCAACGATAATGATTGTTATTTCATTTGAAAATGAAGAAGAAAAGTAAAAATAGACATTCTTGTCCCCAGTATAATCTACTTGAGATGGACAAATGAAAAGTGGAATCTTTATTCAAAAAGAAAAATCAGGGTTATCAGGAACATACCCAAACATAATAAAAGCAATTTACAGCAAGCCAACAGCCAACATCAATATAAATGGAGAGAAACTCAATGTGTTTCTCCTAAAATCAGGAACAAGACAAGGCTGTCCACTCTCTCCATACCTCTTCAATATTGTCCTTGAAGTTCTAGCTAGAGCAATAAGACAACAAAAGGAGATCAAGAGGATACAAATTAGAAAGAAAGAAGTCAATCTTTCACTATTTGCAGATGATATGATAGTCTACATAAGTGACCCGAAAAACTCTACCAAGGGACTCCTACACCTGATAAAAACCTTCAGCAAAGTGGCAGGATACAAGATTAACTCAAAAAATCAGTAGCCCTACTATATACAGATGATGAATGCACTGAGAAAGAAAGCAGAGAAACATCATCCTTTAAAATTTCCACAAACAACATAAAATACCTTGGGGTAACACTAACCAAAAAAGTAAAAGACATGTATCATAAGAATTTTTTTTTTTTGGTTTTTTTGAGACAGGGTTTCTCTGGTAGTTTAGAGGCTGTTCTGGAACTCGCTCTAGGCTGGTCTCGAACTCACAGAGATCCTCCTGCCTCTGCCTCCAGAGTGCTGAGATTAAAGGTGTGCACCACCAACGCCCGGTAAGAATTTTGAATCTTTAAAGAAAGAAATTAAGGAAGAGGCCAAAAAATAGAAGGATCTCCCATGTTCTTGGATAGGTAAGATCAACATAGTAAAAATGGCAATCTTGCCAAAAGCAATCTACAGATTCAATGCAATCTCCATCAAAATCCCAGCACAATTCTTCACAGACCTGGAAAAAATAATTCTCAACTTTATACGGAAAAACAAAAGACCCAGGATAGCCAAAACAACCCTGTACAATAAAGGAACTTCCGGAGGCATCACCATCCCTTACTTCAAGCTCTATTATAGAGCTATAGTCCTGAAAACAGCGTGGTATTGGCACAAAAATAGACAGGTAGATCAATGGAATCCAGTTGAAAACCCTGATATTAACCCAAACACCTATGAACACCTGATCTTTGACAAACAATCTAAATTTATACGAGAACATCTTTAACAAATGGTGCTGGCATAACTGGATGCAGGCATGTAGAAGACTGCAGATAGATACAAGTCTATCGCCATGCACAAAACTTAAGTCCAAAGGGATCAAAGACCTCAAAATAAATCTAGGCACACTGAACCTATTAGAAGACAAAGTGGGAAATACCCTTGAATTAATTGGTACAGGAAACCGCTTCCTGAATATTATACCAGTAGCATAGAAACTGAGTTCAACAATTAATAAACGGGACCTCTTGAAACGGAGAAGCTTCTGTAAGGCAAAGGTACAGTCAACAAGACAAAACGGCAGCCCACAAAGGGCTGATCTCCAAAATTTAGAAAGAACTCAAGAAGCTAGTCTCCAAAACACCAAACAATCCAATTAAACAGTGGGGTACAGAACTAAATAGACAATTCTCAATAGAGGAATTTAAAATGGCTGAAAGACACATAAGAAAGTGTTCAACATCCTTAGCCATCAGGGAAATGCAAATCAAAACAACTCTGAAATACCATCTTACTCCTGTCAGAATGGCCAAAATCAAAAATACCAATGACAGTTTATGCTGGAGAGGATGTGGAGAAAGGGGAACACTTCTCCACTGCTGGTGGAAGTGCCAACTTGTACAGCCACTTTGGAAATCAGTATGGTAATTCCTCAGGAAAATGGGAATGAGTCTACCACAAGATCCAGCAATTGCACTCTTAGGCATATACCCAAAAGAAGCACATTCATACAACAAGAACATCTGTTCAATGATGTTCATCGAAGAATTATTTGTAATAGCCAGAACCTGGAAGCAACTTAGATGCCCCTCAACTGAAGAATGGATAGAGAAAATGTGGTACATCTACACAATGGAGTACTACTCAGTGGGGAAAAAAAACACAGTAAAGCTTGAAATTCCCAGGCAAATGGATGGAACTAGAAGAAACCATTCTGAGTGAGGTAACCCAGTCACAAAAAGACAAACATATATGGATTCTAGACATAGAACAAAGGATTACCAGCCTACAACCCACACTACCAGAGAAGCTAAGAAACAAGGAGAGACATACACGGTCCCCTGGAGAAGGGGAAAGGGACAAGATCTGAGAAAATTGAGAACATGGGGGGAGGGGAGAGGGAGCTAGGGAAGGGAGAAGAGGAGGGGTGAGGAGGACAGGAGGGAGCAAGAAGGTTGAGTTGGGGGAAGAATAGAAGACAGCAAGATAAGAGATACTATAATAGAGGGAGACATTATAGGTCTAAAGAGAATTCAGGCACTAGGGAAATGTCTGGAGATCTACAATGATCTACAACCAGCTAATGATCTAAGCAACAGAGGAGAGGCTACCTTAAATGCCCTCCCCTGGTAATGAGATTGAAGACTAACTTATATCCTATCCTAGAGCCTTCATCCAGCAGCTGGTGGAAGTAGAAGCAGACACCCACAGCTAAACACTGAACTGAGCTGTAATCCAGTTGCAGAGAACAAGGAGTGATGAGTAAAGGGGTCCAGACCAGTCTGGTGAAACCCACAGAAACAAGGGAGACCTGAACAAGGGAGAGGTCTTGGTCCCCAAACTGATATCTGGGAAACCAGAATGGGACTGATCCAGATCCCCTGAATGTGGGTGTCAGCGAGGAGACCTCGGAAATCTATGGGTCCCCTTGTAGTAGATTAGTACTTATCCCTGGCATAGGAAAGGACTTTAGGAGCCCATCCCACACAGAGGGATACTCCCTGAGCCTAGACACATGGGATGGGCCTAGGCCCTATACCAAAGGATATGACAGACTCAGAAGATCCCCATGGAAGGCCTCAGCCTCCCTGGGGAGCAGAAAGGGTATGGGATAGGTAGGGTGTTAGTTGC